GGCATGATCAGCTCACTGTAACCTCTGCCTCCCAAGTTCAAGCAATTCTCTGCCTCAGCCTCCCGAGTAGCTGGGATTACAGGCACGTGCCACCACACCCAACAGCTTTTGTATTTTTAGCAGAGATGGGGTTTCACCACGTTGGCCAGGCTGGTCTTGAACTCCTGACCTCATGATCCACCCACCTCGGCCTCCCAAAGTGCCAAGATTACGGGTGTGGGCCACTGCACCCGGCCTATACTTTTTTAATGAAATGCTTTGTGCCTATCAACTGGCATCCAATCGAGATTGTAGGGAGCTGTGGTCATGACACTGCACTCCAGGTTGAGCGATAGAGTGAGACCCTGTCTCAATTTTTTAAAAAATTTAAAAAATTTTTAAAGATTTGTAGGTACTTTTTGCATGTGTCTGTTAGGGTGTTTCCCTAGAAACACCCTCACATTTTACACACCACTCTGACTTTTGGGGGGTTACTAGCCAATATAGGGAGGAATTCTTGGGGAGAGTACTATGCTTATGCAAAATTGGATCTATGTTAAGTCCAGGGAAACTTTATTTTTAATAAATTTAAATAAAGTGTTTTATTTTTCCTTGAATTTTAGAGTGCACTGGTATTTCCCAATAAGATATCAACTGAACATCAGTCTTTGGTGTTAGTGAAGAGGCTCCTAGCAGTTTCAGTATCCTGTATCACATATTTGAGAGGAATATTTCCAGAATGTGCTTATGGAACAAGATATCTAGATGGTAATATAATATTTATTTTAAAACTTTCTTTTAAAATTATGTTTTTTGGCTTGCTCTAAAACTATAATTTTGACTTAGAAATTTTATTTTTAATAGCAGCTTTATTAATACAATTTACATACCTGACAGTTCACTTGTTTAAAGTGTACATTTCAATGATTTTTAGTATATTCACCGAGTTGTACAACCATTACCACAGTCAATTTTACAATGAAACTCCATACCCATTAAGCCACTATGCACATCCCCTCGGCCTTCCCAGTTCTAGGCAATCACCAATCTACTTTCCATCTATACGGATTTACTTATTCTGGACATTGCACATAAATAATATAAAATGTGGTCCTGGCCGGGTGCAGTGGCTCATGTCTGTAATCCCAGCACTTTGGGAGGCTGAGGGAGGCAGATCACTTGAGGTCAGGAATTGGAGACCATCCTGGCCCACGTGGTAAAACCCTATCTCTACCAAAAATACAAAAATTAGCTGAGTGTGGTGGCACATGCCTGTACTCCCAGCTACTCGGGAGGCTGAGGCTGAGGCAGGAGAATCGCTTGAACCCAGGAGGCAGAGGTTGCAGTGAGCTGAGATTGTGCCACTGTACTCCAGCCTGGCGACAGAGTGAGACTCTGTCTCAAAAAAAAAAATATGGTCCTTTGTGACGGGCTTTCACTTAGCATAATGTTTTCAAGGATATTGTAGCATGGATAAGCACTTCATCCCTTTTTGTTGCTGAATAATGTTCTATTGTATGGCTGTAGCACATTGTATTTATCCCTTCATCAGTTGATGAACATTTGGGTTCTTTTTTTGGCTACTATGAATAATGCCACATTGATACACAAGTTTTTGTTTGGACACCTTAATCGTTTTTAAATATATATATTCAATACTTTTAAAAGCACTTAATCACAAAATTTTTCCTCAGTTTCTCAAGTATGATTTTACCTGAAATTATGCTTGTAATGATGAAAGAGATAGAAAACATTCTGTTATTTATAACTTTGTACAGTAGTAGTGTATTTAAAAAATGGATTGTACTATTTTTAGAAAGTAAAAATAATACAGCCAGGGGCAGGAGTGGAAGCTCATGTCTGTAATCCTAGCACTTTGGGAGGCTGAGGTGGGAGGATCACTTGAGGCCAGGAGTTTAAGACCAGCCTGGTCAACAAGGGAGACTCCATCTCCATTTTTTAAATTAAAATAATAATAATAATACAGCCAGTTTATACTACAATAATAACTTATTTCTCAGTACATTATACATGCAAAATATTGTACACCAGTTATGTGCTGGGCAATATGGTAAGCACTATGTTATGTATGATATCTTGTTAATTCATGTAACAGTCCTACAAATCTCTCTTTTTCAAACAAGAAACCTGAGGATATGAGATGCTGTCAGTCTTTTCCACTTTGTTACATGTTACTTCTTTGCAGGCCTCTTTGTTTTTGATAGCCAGTTTGGCCTTTACAAGTATTTTACTGGGGTAAGATTCTAAGTATGTTATTGGAATAAGATTCTAAGATTTCTGTATAACAATGGCATAAAAGCAACATATCTAATTTTATGGATTCTATAATTTTTTTCATGAAATACTTTTGTACCCATCAACTTTCATCCTAATTATGATGGAATTTTATAATACATATTAAAAGACTACTTTCATATAACCTTTCTTCCTTTAATTACGTTAATAATATTAATCATCTGGGTGTTAATTTTTGCTATTAATAATTTACCTGTGCTGGGCATGGTGGCTCATGCCTGTAATCCCAGCACTTTGGAAGGTTGAGGCAGGCAGATCACCTGAGGTCAGGAGTTCGAGACCAGTCTGGCCAACATGGGGAAACCCTGTCTACCAAAAAATACAAAAATTAGCCAGTCATGGTGGCATGCGCCTGTAGTGCCAGCTACTCAGGAGGCTGAGGTGGGAGAATGGCTTGAACCCAGGAGGCAGAGGTTCCAGCGAGTCAAGATCATGCCACTGCACTCCATCCTGGGTGACAGAGTGAGACCCTGTCTCAAAATTATAATAACTATAATAATAATTTACCTGTAATACACATTTAAAATTTCTAGTTGTTTGCTGTTCTTAAGTAACTCTATATTTTATTATTTTTGTGTTTAGATCTTTGTGTCAAAATACTGAGAGAAGATAAAAATTGCCCAGGATCTACACAGTTAGTGAAATGGCAAGTAAAACAATACCTAAAGAGGGAAAATTATTTTTTTCTCATATTTTTTTATACCTTGGATACTTTCTGGTGTTTAACCAAATTTTAGTGAATCATCCTTTAATGCCAGATAGCATTTTTGTAGGTCATTAAATTTTCCATTGAAGTTTTCCTATCCTAGAAGTCTGGGTATTTGGTAAAATAAATTTTAAAAATAAATGTTGGCCAGGCATGGTGGCTCATGCCTATAATCCCAGCACTTTGGGAGGCCGAGGAATGTCAAGAGTTCAAGACCAGCCTGACCAACATGGTGAAACCCTGTCTCTGTCACTGCAGCCTGGGTGACAGAGTGAGACTTCTTCTCAAAAAAAAAAAATTAAATTAAAAAAATAAAAATAAAAAATTAATATTTCTTTATTTTATGCTCCATGCAAGCACGTTTCATTTATTTTACTATTGTTCTCCACAAATAGCTATCAGATATTTTGTATTTTCTCTTCCATCCCTATCATGATTTTACATTTCTGCCACATTGTTTTTTATGTTTTGTCTTGTTTTAAGCTAGCTAATAAGAAGGGAGCTTTAATAAGATATTTTTGTATTATTTAGTAATGAGATAATATGGAAATGTATGAAAATAGCTATTTTCTGGAAATACATTCAGTCTAAAATGAATCCTTGATTTTTTTAGGATGCTAGGATGTTATGATGCTTTACAGAAAAAATATGTAAGTCTTGCAATCCCTTTGTCCTTTTTTTCTATAGTTTATGATCTACAAATCCAACTGGAATTATGTAGTAAAACATTTATTTAAACTAACTTAAGTGTAGATGGTCTGAGTTAGTGAAAAGCCTAAACATTTGAGTATTTTAAAGACTAATCATTAACTCATTTAAAGCTAATGGAATTAATGCTAAACAAATTTTTCCAAGCTAGTTTTGTTTTTTTAACACTTATTTATATTAATAACACATGTTAACTTATAAAAAATTAATGAATTAAAGTCTTTTCATATAGTTTATTTATTAGTTTCACATGCCTTCTACAAGTTTGTTGATACTAATAATTTAATAAATTATTTCCTTTTTAGGGCTCAAAAATAAATTTCCACATAATCTAGGTTAAACTGTCACAAATTCTAAGTCAGCAAAATTAAGAAGGTTTTAAGATAGATTATAAGCCTTTTTGCATACTTAGCATAATTTAGTATCCACATGTATAATGAAGTCCAGCACTAGGCTAATTGTGAAGAAGATGAATTTTTATTCATGGTCCTTAACCTTCACCTTTAAGGCATGGTAAATATCTAGTTCCTGTTATGTGCTAGGCATCCATTCTAGGTAGGAACCGGGTAAGCTAACAGTGATCAACAAAACAAAGAGGGTCCCTTCTATAGTAGTAAAACAATAAAACAAGTAAGTCATATACTTTCCAATAATGTTAAATGCCATTAACATTTTTAGCAAAAGTATGTGATAAATGGAGAGGTGGGGTAACTTTAGATGGGAAGGTCATAGGAGCTTCCCTGAGGAAGTGACATTTAAGAGACCTGAATGAGAAGAAACCAGCCAGGCATTGATTTTGGGAAAGAATATTCCTGGCAGAGCAGCAAATGCAAAGAATTGGAAGGAAGTTTAGAGAGTTCCAGGAACAGAAAGAAGGCCAATATGACTGGAGTGCAATTGTGCAGTGGGGGAAAATAACATGAGCTGAGCCTAGGCAGATAAGTAGGGCCAGAGCAGTCACTGGATTTTATTTTAGGTGCAAGGAAAAGCCATTCAAAGCTTATAAGCAGAAATGTAATATTTGATTTACATTTAAAAATTGTTTTAGGCCAGACACAGTGGCTCACACCTGTAATCCCAGCACCTTGGGAGGCCAAGGTGGGTGGATCACCTGAGGTCAGGAGTTTGAGACCAGCCTGGCCAATATGGTGAAACCTTGTCTCTACTAAATGTACAAAAATGAGCCAGGCGTGGTTGCACCTATAATCCCAGCTACTCAGAAGGCCAAGGCAGGTGAATCGCTTGAACCCAGGAGGCAGAGGTTGCAGAAAGCCAAGATCGTGCCACTGAGCTACAGCCTGAGTGACAGGGAGATATTCTGTCTTTAAAAAAAATTGTTTTAAATCACTTTGCCCATGATTTAGAGAATATGCTGTAGAGGGAGAATAAGATCGGGAATAAGGAGAATAGATCATAGGTCATGACTTTTTTTTATTTTTTTGAGACAGAGTCTCACACTGTCGCCCAGGCTGCAGTGCAATGCTACAATCTCGGCTCACTGCAACCTCCGCCTCCCGGGTTCACACGATCTCCCGCCTCAGCCTCCTGAGTAGCTGGGATTACAGGCGCACACCACCACACCCAGCTAATTTTTTGTATTTTTAGTTGAGACGGGATTTCACCATGTTGGCCAGACTGGTCTCAAACTCCTGACCTCGTGATCCGCCCGCCTCAGCCTCCCAAAGTGCCGGGATTACAGGCACAAGCCACAGCGCCTGGCTGACCCTAGGCCATTACTGTACTACTGGTGAGAAATAATGGCTGCTTAGACCAGGATAGCAGAGAGAGGAGATTCAGGATAGATTTGGCAGTAGAACTGGTTGGATTTGTTGATGGACTGGCTGTGTAATATAAGGAAAAGATCAAAATCAAAGATGACTCTTAGATTTTTGGCAGATCGCTTGATTAAATTATTTTCTGTGATTTTCTTTTCCTATGGTCTCCAAAACTTCCTCCCTTTATTAAATTCGTAGGGCCCTGAACTCTCTGGTTTTTCTTTTTTTTTTTTTAATCCATTATCATTGTTTTCAATATAACACATATATTGTGTTATTTCACAATATATATTTTTCTTGTAACTGGAAGTAACGAACTTTTTGCTAAAGTCAATGAAATAAAGTGCTGACATGCATTTCAACCATCAGTGATTTTAGTAGCAATAGATATTTTGGGGACTAGGAAAGCATACCTAAGATACTTACTGCCTTATAGGCATTGATCTTATGAAGTCAAGATCTTCAATGATTATTTGTTATTAGGAATACATGTTGAAATAGGACAAAGAATTCTTACGATTCATCATGAAAAAAGATAGACTACAAGTAAGATTTTTGTTCTTTGTTGTATTTCAGCTAAGGATGGTTGTTCTAGCTGTAAGTATTTTTTAATTGTGTGTTCTTTTTTTAATAACAGTCAAATTTGTCCTTGCTTAATTAAATGACACTAAAACTACCAATTGATTATATCACATGATTCAAATAACTGATCTATTTAATGGAACAAAAAAGTAATATTTTGGGGGGTCATTTTTATTTGTTTGTTTTGCTGAGTTCATACAATGTTTAGTCTAAACATCCAATTTAGTTATTCAATACTTAGCCTTAGATAACTCAATTGTAAATTGTTTTTAAATAGGTATACACAAACCCAGAAGATCCTCAGGTAAGTGTACTTGAGTTACTAAAGAAACATAATGCCTCTAACATCTAAAAATAACATAAAACTATAATATAAGAGTATCTTATGCTTTCATTGTGCTTTAATAAATGTACTTTCATATATATTTTCACATTTGAGCTTCATAAAACAAGGCAGGACTTGTATTGTTACCTTTAAACAGATTAACATGACAGAGATTATGTGGCTGATCTTAGGCCACAAAGCTTACAAACTGTTATAAATAACTTAAATCTCCTGACATCTAATTTTTTTTTTTTTAAGAGATGGGGTTTCACCATGTTGGCCAGGCTGGTCTTGAACTCCTGACCTCAGGTGATCCACCCGCCTCGGCCTCCCAAAGTGCTGGATTACAGGTATGAACCATCATGCCCAGCCTTTTTACTGTATTTTAGAATTATGTATTTACTGTATTTTTATACTGTATTTTAGAATTATGAAAGGGCTTGAGTTTTAGGAAAGTAAGGAAGTCATCCTTAAACTTAGAGTATTCATCCCAATCCAGTGATAGCCACCTATTCATTTTACAATTAAAGGAGAGAGAAGGGAGAAAGTGAAAAGGAAAACCAGAAGATAAGAAACAGGGGGAAAGATCTATTGAGTGCTTACTCTATGTTAGGCTCTGTTCTTTGGGGCTTTATGTACATTATCTCATTTATTCATCCCAACCTTCAACAGGTAATCATTATTAGCATCTTCACTTTACAGATTAGGAAATCTAGGTAGAAGGGGTTTCTTGCCTAAGCTTACAGTGGCAGAACCAGCTTTTGAACCTAGGAAGGCCCGCTCACAGTTTGGATGTTTACCCATTAATGGTATAGCTATAAAATATAATATTTCATTCAGTCAAAGAGAGATAGATTTAAACTGGTGTTAAAAAAATAAAGATGTTTAAAAACATCACTGTGGGCTGGGTGCAGTGGCTCACGCCTGTAATCCCAGCACTTTGGGAGGCTGAGGCAGGTGGATCATTTGAGGTTGGAAGTTCAAGATTAGCCTGACCAATGTGGAGAAACCCCATCTCTAGTTAAAAATAAAATAAAATAAATTAGCCGGGCCTGGTGGCACATGCCTGTATTTCCAGCTACTCAGGAGGCTGAGGCAGGAGAATCACTTGAACCCAGGAGGTGGAGGTTGTGGTGAGCCGAGATCAAACTATTGTACTCCAGCCTGGGCAACAAGAGCAAAACTTCATCTTAAAAAAAAAATCACTGTGTAAGCAATGAAATATAAAGAAAGCAAATTCAAGCTTCAGGAGAGCTGAGAATTTTTCTTTTCTTTGATACTCACACCTGCAATTAATGCTTAATATGTGTTCATGCTGACAAAGCAGATCATTTGGGTAAAGGCTGTGAATTGATAGATTGTTCAGAAAACTGATTGATTGTTTAGAAAATGTTCATTTATTTTCATATGTTTTATAATTGTGCCTTTTTTCTCTCAGTAAATCAGCAACCTTGTTGATAACTAATACCATTTATTGAATGTTTACCATATGTCAGATACTTTATTAAGTACCCTGTATAAATTATCCCATTTGTGAATATTTATTCACAACTACCAATGAGATATGTACTGTCTTCAATCCCTTCTTAAGCTGGGGAAAGTAAAACTTAAAAGGCTTAAGTGGCTTGCCTGTGGTTATAGTATAGCAAAGATCTAAGCCCTGTGCTAGCCACTCTGCTGAGGTATGTTGCCTCCCTTATCTGCCTGCTAAGGAGCTCCTTCCCTGTGGTATAAATAACATGCACTACAATGAGTTGGGAAGTAAATGTCTCTCCAAGCCTGAAGCCCCAAATCCCAAACCATGAGAACTGACTATGAGGAATCAAAAGCTTCAATGGACCAATAGGGATTAGTATGGCAGAAAAAGTATTGACTAGGGCCGGGCGCGGTGGCTCACGCCTGTAATCCCAGCACTTTGGGAGGCCGAGGCGGGTGGATCACGAGGTCAAGAGATCGAGACCATCCTGGTCAACACGGTGAAAC